TTTTACAGGTAAATATTTGTATTCAGATGTCTTTGAGTTTTCACACTATTTTAAGCTCTGGGTTTACACAGAAGTACTGTTATAAGTCACTTATTCAAATGTGGGTACCTTTCTGTAGGTTTTACCCCAAATAGAATATTTAAGTAAATGCTCTCTGGCAGTGTTACTTTTTATGTGCTTATTTCTTAACAGATACTAGAGTACCAAGCTCTTTTTAGTGTATTTTACTCTAAAGCACTGAATTTTTAATAAACCTGCAATTTTTCTAAAAAGTCTCACAGCAAATCAGTTTAAAGACACTTTTTAAACCGTTCTGTTCCAGAAATTTGCTATTTTAACAGTTACTCATAGAACCAAGTGGTGAAAAGAAAAAGAAAAGTTGATGATGTGTCAGGATTAATTAGTCTTTCTTCAGAAAAACCGTTATTACTCCTGTCCTCCTGCAAATCTTCTATTTAAAATTAAATAGGAAGATGTATTTTTTAGGTGGCAACTTAAACAGAAAAGTTTCTTTTTCCTGATAAGTTTACTCTTATTTAGTGATTTTGCAATTAAACGTGTATTATCTTTCAAGCAAAATGAGTAAACTTTTCAACTCTGTGAATATTTGAACCGTATCTTTTAAAAAGTTTCTAATTTTTCATTTTGTACCTCCTTGTTTGAGGAATTCAGTGAATGAAAATGTCCTGGTAAATGCCTTTTTTTTGCATAAATACCTCTTACTTTTTAAGTGCAAGATAACAGTGATTATTCAGCTTTGAGGAACGTTTATTAACTCAAAAATGCCTTACAGGAAAAAAACAAAAACCGTTTAATTTCACTAAAATACCTAAATCTGAAGTGAAACTGTGATCTCAAGTTTCCCAGGAGGGGGCAGTATTTAGCTTTCTACCAGCAGGAGTCTATGACGACTTCCTGTGACGTTCGGTTGACATCCTGTTGTTAGCCGCTTAGCTTAAAGTTAGCTTCGGCTAAACTCGGTTAAAATCAACATTTCTGAACGGATTTGAAGCGTAAATGTGGCGTTCTTTCAACAAGCACGACTTTTTTGCATGAAACATGAGTTTTCTGGGACATATGGCAGCTTTATTTAGTGATTTTAAGCATGGCGAAGGCTCCGGTTGCAAGCTTTACATCCGACATGGAGGAAGTGACGTGACACGTCACTCATCCGGTCGTTAGCTGTTAGCTTAAAATTAGCATCGCTAGCGTTGTTCAAAAACATCATTTAATGACGGATTTTAAACTCTAACGTGGCAAAATTTCAGCGAGTATGCTTCGAAGAACTTAACCAGTGTATCAAAATACACTTTAAAGCGCTTTTCAGCTTTAAAAAGCAGATTTTATTTCCCTATGAAAACGAGTTTTAATTTCCGGGTCACGTGACTGAAATCACCAATGACAAAGCAGCACAGGGGTGAGAGGAAGTGACGTAGGCACGTCATTCACTTTCTCAGCAAATCAGAGCGCTCCACAGCAGCAAATCCAACCAATCACGAAGCGTTTTCCCAACTAGCATGTTAGATTTAGCCTGAAATAGTTCGTCAACTTTTCGTCTTGTAAACTGTCAAAATGCACCATTTCTGTTAAAAATTGTAACGAATCAATTCTGAGTTGCACGGAGTCTGCTACTCCGGTCTCAAAACGTCTTTCTAGCTATTTAAACAACTCGTCCGAACCATTTCAGAACCGAGCCGGTACCAGAACCACGTCTGGACCGCCTTTAAACAGAATAAAGCGTTTCCACACAAACCCAGCTTTTAGTTACCATAACAGGCGTACAATTTCAGCTTTCATAAAGACTCAATGACACTATTTCAGCTTTCATAACATCGCCAGCGTAACACAGCGTAAACATGCAGAGCCAAGCTCCAAGCGGCGCAGCTTCAGAGGCGTTTCAGCACAGCTGACAAACTGTTATTTTTCATGCCAACATGTAAAATC